AATACGTAGACTTTTTGCTGTAATTTTGCTGTGGGTTTTTGGTTTTGTTCTGATACTTCTAGCTTCTTTATTTCACATAGCTTTCTATGCTGCCTTAATTTCATTTATGGGGTTTCTAACTGTTTCTTTCCTTGCTGTTGTTTTAATGTTTACTAAATTTTTATGATGGTCTTATTCTTCTTTTGATGAAATTTATTAATTTTCTTTGAGGTTACCCTAAAGTTTAATTTTCTCTGCATTTGGAAAATTTTTAACTATATTATTTATCGCCTTCTTTTACTTTGTAATTCTCTTCCTTACAAGTTCATATCTGTGGATACCTAGTTTCAGTCTTGTTTTGGAGCCTTAGAGGCATAGTGGATTACACATCAGGCTCCAACTGCAAGGTCAGCAGTTCAACCCCCCCAGCTGCTCCTCAGGACAAAGAAGAAGCTTTCTGTTCCCATTAAGATTTATAGCATCGGAAACCCAAAGGGGCAGCTCTACTTTGTCCAATAGAGTCGCTATGGGTTGGAACTGACGGACTGGTAGTGAGTGAGAGGTTTTACTTTGGATTTCTATATCTGGTTTGACTTCTAGGTGGTACTGTCATGCATGTTACTCTCAACATGTCTTTTGTTACTGTCTCAGCAACGCTCTTTAGAATTTTTGGTAAGGTTAGTCTGTTTTTTACAAATTCCTTTCCTCTCTGCTTATCTAAAAATGTTCTAATTTCTCCATTATATTTGAAAGAAGATTTTGTTGGCTATTATAATCTTGACTGGCAATTCGCCTCCCTCCCAATTTTATATATGCAATTCTATTGCCTTCTTTTTCTTTTTAAATAATTTTTTTAAATTAAGAATTAGATGGTGTGTGTGTGTGTGTTATATTTCAGACCATCAATTCTACATGCCACAGTTCAAATCATTCACCGAACCCCAGTTCCCAGTTCAGCCTATCCATCTTTGCTAATTTCTCTCTCCCTCTTTTTTCCCATTGCCTTCTTGGGTCTATGATTTTTGCCAAGAAAATATCCTACTGGATCTCTCTCATAAGTAATTTTTCATTTCTCCAGAGCTTCTGTCCGAATTCTTTCCTTGACTTTGGTTTTGGAACATTTGATTAGGATATGTCTTGTTGATTTTCTTTTGGAGTCTATCCTGTTTGGGGTTTGTTTAACTTAAATATTTATCTTCTTTTCTTTCATGATATTAGGGAAGTTTTCTTTCTTTTTTTTAATCATTTTATTGGGGGCTCATACAACTCTTGTCACAATCCATACATACATCAATTGTGTCATCTGTACATCTGTACACTCGTTGCCCTCATCATTCTCAAAATATTTGCTCTCCACTTAAGCCTCTGGCATCAGCTTCTCATTTTCTCCCCTTCTCTCCCCGCTCCCCCTCCCTCCTGAACCCTTGATAATTTATAAATTATTATTTTGTCATATCTTGCACTGTCAGACGTCACCCTTCACCCACTTTTCTGTTCATCCCCCAGCGAGGAGGTTATATGTAGATCCTTATAATCAGTTCCCCCTTTCTACCCCACCTTCCCTCCACCCTCTGGTATCGCCACTCCCACCGCTGGTCCTGAGGGGATCATCTGCCTTGGATTCCCTGTGTTTCCGCTTCCTATCTGTACCAGTGTACATCCTCTGGTCTAGGCGGATTTGCAAAGTAGAATTGGAATCATGATAGTGGAATTTAAGAATTAGAAGAAAGATGTATGTTTCATTGTTGCTACACAGCACCCTAACTGGCTGGTCTCTTCCCTGCGACCCTTCTGTAAGGGGGTGTCCCATTACCTACAGATGGGTTTTGGGTCTCCACTCTACACTCCCCCTCATTTATAAGGATATGATTTTTTGTTCTTTGATGCCTGATAACTGATCCCTTCAACACCTCGTAATCACACAGGCTGGTGTGCTTCTTTCTTGTTGGCTTTGTTGCTTCTGAGCTAGATGGCTGCTTGTTTACCTGCAAGCCAAGACCTCAGATGCTATATCTTTTGATAGCTGGCCACCATCGGCTTTCTTCACCACATTTGCTTATGCACACATTTGTCTTCAGCAATCATGTCGAGAAGGTGTGCATAATGGAATGCCAATTTAAAAGAACAATGTGTTCTTGCATTGAGGAAGTACTTGAGTGGAAGCCCAATGTCCATCTGCTGCCTTAATACTAAACCTATAAATATATGCATGTAGATCTATTTCCCCATCATCCTATATAAATATAGTGACATATGTACATGCCTGTATCTAGACCTCTATAAATGCCCTTTGCCTCTTAGTTCTTTCCTCTATTTCCTTTTACTTACCTCTTGTCTACTATCATGCTCAGCCTTCATTTGGGTTTCAGTAACTTCTATTGGTTACATTGCCTTTGATGAATCCCTGTCAGACCACTCACACCGTCCTTGCCACTAATTTTGGATCACTTGTTGCTCCCTTGTCCCTGGGTTGGTCAACACCACCTCCCTTCCCCACCTCCCCATCTCCCATGTCCCCCCGGAACCATCGGTCCCATTGTTTTCTCTCCTCCAGACTGTTCATCCAGCAGATCTTATCTAGATAGACCTGCAGAGATAATACTGTGCACCAAAAAACAAGGCATAGCAAGACAAAGCGACAAAAGAGAACACAACGATGACAATCACAAAGAAAACCATGACCAAAAAATAAATTAAAAATTAAAAAAGGAAAACCTATAAATGATACAAGGTCTGTTTGCTGACCTCAAGGAGTGTCCTCCAGGCTCGGGTCCCAGAGTGTATCCTTTGCACTCTCGGGACCTCCCTGCTCTGCTCCCCCTGCTGCTCTGCCGCGCACCCTTAGTGTTTTGCCTCGGTGTGGTGGGGTCAGACCAGGCCAATCCCGACACTGAGTCTCCAGTGCTGTTCCCTGTAGGGCCATGGGTTGTGAGAGAGGTCATGTCTCATAGTGGGACCAGCCATATGGTCCACTCTGTGCGTTGGCTGTTCTGAGCAGGTATATTGTCCTCCAGGCTTGATGGGCCAGGATGTACTCCCCTCTCTCTTAGGGGAAGTTTTCTTATAGCAACTCTTCAACAAGTTTCTCTGTGATGGTTTTTGTTTTTTCTGGAATAAAGGGAGTGTCTCTTCTTGTTCTGGAATTCTAATCACATATACGTTATTCCTCCTGACGAATAGAATTGGATTAGATTCTATGATGTAGGTGAACAGAGTGATCGCAAGCCAGGTTCTCATCAGAAGGCTGCTACAAACATTCAAAATGGCTGGCTGACAAGTCACCATCCTGTCTGTCTTGTCTCTCATCACTTTTGATGTTTCTTTTCCCAGTCAATATCTAATCCACTTCTCTACCTTCCCTCTGAAGCTCGGGCTTGCAGGGTTATCATCTGTACGGACACTTCGTTTTGTTGCTGTGTCTTTTGTTGTGAAGTGTGTGCGTCGCGTGGCGGCCTAGTCTGCCATCTTGCCGGAAGTGTACCATGGATGACTTTTAAAACAATGACCACGGTTCCTTATTCAGAATGGATAGCAAAGCACAAGAATGGACGTGGTGATGGGGCAGGAGCTCGCTGGGGTCCACGTGAGGGGCTGTAGCTTAGTCTAGGTGGTGGGATTGGAAATGAAGATAAATGGGGAAGACACTTTGGAGGCAAACGGCTGGTGAATTGGAAGCCTGAGGCATGACAGGGCTGACAAGAGGTGTGCAGGGTCTACCCACCAGCTAGTGCTAGAAACACAGTATTCACTCGTGGATAAGCCCAGTGTTTCCAGCACGTATTAAATGCCATCTGTGTGGTGACATTAGGTGCCTGGCTGATGTTCGGGTTGGCGTATATTCGAGTACATTCGGTATGTGAGCATGGGTTGGAGCTTCCTGGAAGTCCCTTTCTAGTTGGTTGGGTGATCCAGAAAAAGATGAACCATTAAATTTTTTAATAGTTTGATTTGTTTTTCCTTAAAAAAAAATTTTATTGGGGGCTCTTACAGATATTATAAAAATCTATAAATCAGTTATATCAAGCAAACTTGCACATATGTTGCCATCGTCATTTTCAAAACATTATCTTTATACTTGAGCCCATATTACCAGCTCCTCTTTTTTCCCTCCCTCCCACACGAACCTTTGATAGATTATATATATATATATATATATATATATAATTTTCATATTTTACACCATAGACTGTATCCCTTTACCCATGCTTCTCTTATTTACCGCCCTCGGCGGGGGTGGGGTGGGGTGGGGGTTAATACATTCATCATTGCTATCAGTTTCCCCTTCTCCTCCTTTCCCCCTCGCCCCTTACCCTTATGGTATCGCTATTCCCATTGCTGTTTCTGAGGGGTTTATCTGTCCTGGCTTCCATGTATTGAGAGCTCTTATCTGTACCGATGTACATATTCTGGTCTAGCAGGATGTGTGAGGTAAAACTGGGTTCATGATAATTGGGGGGTGGAAGCATTAAAGAACCAGAGGAACGCTGTGGAAACACTAATTTCTATGGTCATGTTAGACATATTCCAGCTTGAAGAACATATATGTGCCAAAATTAAAATGTTATGTTCTTTAATCATACGTCATTTGAGACAAGCTGGGGAATTAGGGATTAGGAACTCAATATGGAAGAGGGAGTCTACAAAACATAAGGGAAATAATAAGTTTTTAATCTCCAAGATTTGCCTTTATACTTTAAAGAGGAAAGAAATATACATTTTGGGTGGATATGCCATCTATATTCTCATAAACATTTCCCAAAAGAAAGTAGCCTGAGAGCTACTGGGACCTTAGGACATCCTTTGCCCATCAAATCCGTTGCTGTCCAGTAGATTCTGACTTGTGGCAACTCCATAGCACTTTCAGTGACTGAATGTTCAGAAAGGGAGTACAAAGCCTCCTTTTTTTTTGAAGAGCTGGTAATTTTGAACCACTCATTTGCTGTTAGCAACCCTTCAACCATTCTCTGCAGCACAAAGGAGGCAACCTCATTAATAACTAGTCAGCCTGGATCCCAACGCACCTCTTCTTGTCCAGTGATTTTCAGGAAATGGCAAAATTCATCTTGAATTAAAAGAAATTTGGCTCTTCTCATGCCTTCAGCATCTTTCAGGTTAGCCATGCTCTCTTGGAAATACTGCTTAGCCACATCTGGAAAAAGGGATCATAACACGTTTGAAAACTCCTTGCAGATTAGACATGATAATTGAATAAATATACTTTTAGTCATAGTGAACTATTTGAAAGTAATACATATCTGGACAAGAAAAACCAGTTAAGGAGACTGTTCTTTTACTCATTAATCTGCTCATTTTATCAGCAAAAAACATTAGGTCTTAGAAGGATATAGCAGTTTATTTTTCTGGGTTTTTACTCAGCTTTCCCATGAAAAAAGCAAGTAAAGTAAATCCAAACCATAAGTAAACTGCATGTAAAAAAGTAAGTAAAGTGAACTCAATACTCTCCCCTAGATATGGACATATCGACTAGCTGTCAGCCAGTAGAGCAGCCTCACTCTGGGCCATCCCTCACTGAGATTAGAACTCTTCAGGGTCCACTTCCTTTAGTGGACACATATGTATAACATGAAAATTCTGGGCAATATGGCTGGCACGTGATGAGGGAAGAAATGCCAATGATCTCAAACACATAAACATATTGGTTTTAACATAACAAAAACATATGTTTAATTTCATGCCAATATAAAAAGCAAGAAAATGAAAGTCTCGGATATTTAAAACAAAAAGGAGACTAAACGCTGGGAGTCCTAGTGGTGCAGCGGTTTAAGTGCTGGGCTGCTAACTGCAACCTCAGCAGTTCAAAACCACCATTCACTCTGTAGGAGAAAGATGAGGCTTTCTCCTCTGGTGAAGACCTAGAGTTTCAGAAACCATTTCTATCCTATAGGGTCTGTGAGTCAGAATCAATTCGGTGGCAGTGAGAAACCCAGAGCGGTGAGCAGAAGCGAGTTGAACTGTCCATATGGATCTTAGAACAAAAGCCACAGAAGGACTGGACATGAGGTTGAAGGCAGGATTCTAAGATGACCTCCAGTGACCCTCACCCTTAGGACTGCAGGTGGAAATTGTGCAAATGATGAGCTAGGGCTCCCCTAAAGAAGTTGTTCTGGGGCACAGCTGACCCGATCTAATCGCTGACTCCTTTAAAAGCTGAGTTTTCTCCGGCTGGTGGTAGACTAGGAAATCGGACTGGAAGCGTGACAACGAGGGGATGTGCAGGATGTCCTCCGTCCCCAGGTAGAGGGGCTGTGTTTCAAGCACTGGAGCTGCCTGGAGCAGCTGGGAGAGGCCCAGACAACAACCAAAGAAAAAACAGGAACTTCCTTGTTATAACCGTAAGGTTATAATCTGCTGGTTTATTCTGTTCATTTCACATCTCAAAAGGGATTCACTCAAGATGTACTTTACATAGACATTTCATTAACATAACAAAGAAACCCCATTACCAAATGGGGATTTTATTACAAGAATTAATACTATTTTTTGGTGAAACACAACTCTATTCTTCGCCTCATCAAAATTATATCGTTATCAACTAAAGCTCCAAAATCTCATCTTCTGAATCTTCCACATCATAAGTTACATAATTTATTTGGTCTACCACCACTTTTGTATTCTAGCCCATAATGTAGGATAAAGTGTAAGTATCTGCTTCTGCGGTGCCCTGAAATCATGCAGTATCCCTCACGGGGCGGTACTGCCCATTTTGGGAAATGCTGTATGTGAGACCTTAGGCATTTGCTGGGGAACAGTGTTTCTTCATCAGGGAGCCTCTGAACTGTAGAACAGAATTTATCTGTTTCCAAAGTACAACTGTGCAAAAGGCAGAAGGTAAACATTTCCTCTACAAACGGGAGAGATTCAAGGGAAAGAAGAGATGATGGGCACCACGCAAGCACTAAACCCAGCAGAACAAATGATATTAGCCCTCGAGGCTTAACATGATCTCTATTCCTGGGACAATTTGGACAAAAGCTCTGCCTTCCAGACTGGATGTCAGCCATGCTCTCTGGATTCAGACTCGCTTCCCTGGACTTTGGACAGCCCTAATCTCCTAGTCCAATCAACTGGAGACTTCACCCCCTTGGCCTTGTCAGACCCCACTCTTCTGCTCTCGGGGTATGGTAGCTACCACCCCCAGCTCTGAGCGGAGACCCTAACCTCCTGACCACACTGAGAAACAGCTTCATGCTCTAGAACTAAGCTGGCGCAGATTTGGCTCTTTGAAATCTAGTGTTTAAGATCTAGAGACGGTGGCCCCACCCTTAGAAACGGAGACAGGCCTGCTTCCTGTGCTCCTTCAAACAGTTCTTCAGATCCAAACTTCTCCAGACACGGTCCTTTGCTTTTCTTGGAGGACACAGACGTAGCTACTTTGGCCACTTTCTTGCCGTAGATTTCCAAGAAGCAGACAGGTTTTCTTCCTCCCACCCTCTCCCTGCCCCATCAGTCGAAGTTGAAGCGTTTTCTGCTGTGGTCCTTGGTTAGCTCAGTCAGTCACATCTCTTTTACAAAAGATTGTGCAGCCACGTACTTGGTGAAAATTCTAAGGCAGGATCCCCAGTCAGCACAACAGACTTTTCCAGATCTTTGAGTCCTGTTTCATTTTGTTTCATTTTGTTTGTTTCATTTTGCACAGTTCATTAAGTCGATCTCTTTCCTCTTGCATTTTACTATTTTCAGTCACTTTAAGAGCTTGCTTAGAAATTTCCTCAGAACGATAGGCAGGAAGCCGAGGGAAAAGGGCAGTCTCTGCTAAACTCAACATCTTGCCCAGTAGGGAATTCCCAGGCAGGAAGGACAAAGCACGTGCTGCTGGAACGGGGTTTGCTGGGATTTGGGTGCCTTGGACAAGGCCGGGGCCCTGCGATGGAAGCTGACCGAGGAGCGTGTGGCTGCTTCATGGCCGGATCTGTACGTTCCGGCAGAAGGCTGGCGTAGCAGGACCGCCTGTGGCTGGGGCCAGCAGGGGAGCACAGGGAAGCCTGGGAGCGCCTTCTGTGCCTGCACATTCTCAACTTCGGAGTATTTTACCGAGGTGAAGAAAACCTTTATTGCAAGACCCAGGCTTACTCCCTCCAGCACCCAAATTAACTTTGGGAACTAGAGACTACATGGCCAGTCAGAGAATGCAGAGTAAACTGAATGCCATTGCTGCAGTAAAGGAGTGGAATTGCTGATAAGCAGAATTTATATTCTAAGACAATACTCTGAGCTGAGCATATCCATGGGGGACAAGTGACAACAGGGTTTCTGGGGTGACAGGAAGTTCTAGTACAGGGGTGGTAGGCTACTGTATGCCCTGAAGATGGGTGTGGGTTCACAAGAAGATAGCTCAGCACACAGTTTGAATGCGCCCCTGTATGCTTGATCATTCTTTTTTTTTTTTAAGTTTTATTGACATATAATTCACCTCTCATACCATTCGATAGCTTAAACATACTAAAAAATTATGCAATTATCACCACAATTAATTTTAGAATATTTTTATACTCATTATTAGCTCCCCATTTCCCCACAACCTCCCCTGCCATAATCCCCAAACCACACTAAACTCACTAACATCAAGTCAGTTCTGGCTCATGGCAACCCCGTGCGTTGCCAAGACTAACTCTTCATAAGAACAGGAAACCTCACGTTTCTCCTTTGGAATGGCTGGTAGTTTCAAACTGTTGACACTGTGGTTGGCAGCCCAATGCAGAACCACTACGTCACCAGAGCTCCTTCCCATAACCCCAGTAAACGATTAATCTAGTGACTGTCTATAGATTTACCTATCCTGGATTTCATATCAAGAAAAACATTTTTTTAAAAACCAAAACCCCAACAATAATAGCAAAATAAAACTTAAAAATACCTTCGCGCAAAGGATAACAGAACATAATTAAACGAGAACGATTTCAAAATGGGTCAAAAAGGAGAACAAATGAAATGGTGTTCAATTTTAAGCTAACTACACCCGCATTAGTCCACACTTCCCAAGGCATCCTGTTTGATAGCAAGGCTGCTCGCTTCCCTGCTCACTGCTCACAGGAGTTTCACTGAGGCATAATGCACATGGGGACTCTACAAATGGATCATGAACTTTGACTGTCACCTTCTGCAAGTGGGATGCTCAGAATCTAACTAAACTCTCATACTGTTCCCGTTCCGGTCTTGGATCTAATTATTTACAATCCTTGGATCACACAGGCCGATGTTTTCTTCTGTGTGGACTTAGTTGTCAGTTTACTTAGATGGCTGCTTGTTTTAAGACAAGCCATTGAGACCCCAGACACTATTCTTTCTGATAGACAGGCACTGGATGGTCACTCACTTTCAAAAAGGCATTCTAAAATCATCTACAACCTAATACTGATGGCCTCTGCAAAGGATAAGGTCAATTGGTAAAGCACAGGCACATGACTTAGTGGGCAAATCTGAAGCACTCGGCCCCATTTTCATTCCACCAGAATGTTCAGGTTGTCTGCGAGTCCGAGAGGCAGCAATGTGTCCTGTAGGCAGAGTGGCTACAGCACCGTCTGGCTCATTGTCTCAGGAGGCTGCACGGAGACTCCGAGCCTTGCCATTCCCAGAGGCACCCTGGATTCGACTAGAGATGTACATATACAGGCAAAAGCACATGAGGAATGTGGAATCACGACCCGGCACTGTGGAGACCAGCAGGCTTTTAATTAAAATAAATTCCAGGAACTCTGGCCTCACTTTCCAGAGGCTGTCCTAAGGCACAGGGCATCGGAGAAGTGAGGGCGGCTTTCATTAAAAGAGCAGCCTCCAAGTACAATGTGAGCATTCTCTTTTGCGGCAGACCTGGGGAACAGGCTCTGCTCTGTACTAAATGCAAAGCCATTAAGAGCCCCAGAGAATTTATTAATGGAAATTCTCAAATCCAAGCCTGGCGTTAATCCAGAGGAGCTCCATCACTCAGCAAACAAACAGGCTGACTCCATGTAGATCCTGCCGGGGCTGCTCTGGCTCTATCCAGGCCATTGCCCTGGGCGCCCCTGAGGGGAGCCTGGGTGCCACAGCACCCAGGACAGACTCCTCACCACTGGGCAGTGACCAATGGACCCTCGGTGACCCACAAAGGAAACCTCTTTGGGAAGACACTTACAGTCACAGCAGTGGACC